GGTGCGGCGCGGTGGTGGCGGGCGGATGGGCGCGCGAGAAAGAGGCCCGCGCTGGGGCGAGAACGCCATCCTCAACGACGGAGGCCAAACACCGATCCGAAAATGAGGCCCACGCTGCAGCGAGAGCACGATTCGGAACGAGTCGGGAGCAGATATGAGGCCGGCGCTTCAGCGAGAGCAGCATTTGGAAAAAAAACGCAGGCGAAAACCCGTTTCCCGGGAATCCTGTGTACAAAAAAACAGTACGCGGGGGGGGGTCGGCCATTTTCGGGACGCCATCAGGGGAAGTGGGAGAGTATTTTCATATTGTGTGATTGTGGAGGAGGAGGAGGAGGAGGAGGAGGAGGAGAACGAACGAACGAACGACTCATCAGAGGTGCGTCAGCACGGGTCAACGCCCCACAACCGATTAAAGAGCAGAGTAATACCCTTCGGAATTACTGGCAATCACATCTAGAGTGCGCCATGGTCCTATCTTCAGACACGCGTGGCCTCGCGACACGGTGCTCCCATCCACCCCCTTTTTCCACGGCTGGATAGCCACGTTTTGAAGACGGCGAGCCGAAGGGGCAGGGGCGAAACTGGGTGAACTAAAAAGTCAAGCCTACGCAGGCCTCCAACCAACGCGATGGCCCAGGAGAGAGGGGCCACCGCGTTAGAAAAAGAGGGGGCCACCCCAAATCGGGTTCGAAAGCTCCCCAGGACAGGACAGGATGTAAAGCTTAACGCTCAGGGGCCCCAAGAACAATGAACAAACTACTTACGCCTGGGGGCCAGCCCGAGGAGACTCATCACACTGCTGAGAGGGAGTTCTGACTAGAGGAGGAGGGGGGGGACAGGTTCGGCGGCCTAGACGAGGTCATAGAAGTGGGGCGCGCCCGACGTCGACGGAGTATACTCAGTCACAGTCGCAGGTGTCTCAATCGGTCCCATGGCCGTACTCGGAGCTGCAGTCCAGCTCACCTCCGATCCTGAACTCGGAATCAGTGGAGGAGAGGGCGAAGAAGGAATCGACGCGGCACCCAGAGCAGGTGTGGCCTCCTCCACTCCTCCCTCAGCGGGCAAGCGAGCCGTCACCGACAGCTCGCCAGAGTAAGCTTGCGCTTCACCGCTGGGACTAAGAGAGGAGTGGGCCGTCGCCGCTCGCAGTAAACATGCCGAGAGAGACTGGATCCTGGATTCATCTTCTTCGGGCGAGGAAGGAGTCGACGCGGCACCCAGAGCAGGTGTGGCCTCCTCCACTCCTCCCTCAGCCGGCAAGCGAGCCGTCGCCGACAGCTCGCCAGAATAAGCTTGCGCTTCACCGCTTGGACCAAGAGAGGAGTGGGCCGTGGCCGCCCGCTGTAAGCACGCCGAGAGAGACTGGAGTCTGGATTCATCTTCTTCGGTCGGCGGTGTGGCCTCCCCCACTCCTCCCTCAGCGGGCAAGCGAGCCGTCACCGACAGCTTGCCAGAATAAGCTTGCGCTTCACCGCTGGGACTAAGAGAGGAGTGGGCCGTCGCCGCTCGCAGTAAGCACGCCGAGAGAGACTGGATTCTGGATTCGTCTTCTTCGGTCGGCGGTCTTTCAGCCGTCGGATCCAAATGGCCTCGAGGGCGTCCAAGTGAACCTGCATCACGCGAGCTCCGTGGCTCCTGGGAGGGGCGCCGTGTTTGTGCTGGCCGCCGAGCTGAACCAGCGCGGCCACGACCGCGTTCTCGAGCTCGGGGGGATCGACCTTGAGCCACAACTTCACGAACTCTCCCGTGTGTGTCGTCTGCATGCGGCAATGGTGGATCTTGTCGGCCAGCAACGCGTCGCTGGGCTTCTCGTGGTTGACAGTGGCCATGTACGATTTCAGGGCTTGCAAGTTGAGCTGTCCGATCTTGTCTCCCTGAGCGATAAGCGCCCCGACCAGGGCCAGTAAGACGTGAGGATGAGGAATGCCAAGATCTTCGAGCGCCTGCACCAGTTGCCCCGCGGCCAGCGCTTGCGCATTGTCCTTGCGGAGCCTCGCCGCCTCGCTGCCGTGGAACTTCGCCGTCAGCTGCATCGCCTTGATCACGTCGTGCTTGCTCGGCATCTGCGCGCGCCTGTACGAGGCGGCCTCGAGGCGGTTGATCGAGTGCTCGTGGCGGAGGGCGAGGCGCGCGAGCACGGGAAAGGTTGCATGAGTCCACTCCGGCGGCATGAGGTCGAGGCCTTGCACTCCGCTTGGCGCCGGGCCACAGTGATTGTCCACCAGCTGCATGACGTCTGGCGCGCGGGCGACTCCGTTCGAGCATGGCGCCGCCGGTGGCGCTGACGGGGCCGCGCCCCCCGCGGCGGACGCCGCTGGAGCGCCGCGGCGACCCTGGCGACGACCTGGGCCGCCTCTGCCACGGTCGGCGCTGCGGGTGCGGTCGCCGAACCGCCCCGAAGCTCTTGCACGCGCTGCTCGGCCCCAGTACTCAGGGCCCGCTCCGCCAAAGTGGGCGCCGAAGCAAATGTCTGGTGGCGACGGGGCGTGAACTTCTCGAACGTGTCGTTGAAGCGATTCAAGTGAGGGAAATTCTCCCTGCGGCCGAACGGTTCCGCGAGCCTCTCTCGATGGTGGGAGCGCGCGCTGTCGGGGTCAATGCAGACAGGGCACATCAGGACCTCTGGAACCTTCAGAGCAGGGGAGCACGGGCTGAAGTCGGTCAAGCTTCTTTTCAGCTTGAGGGGCTGGACCGCGCGACGCCTGGCCAACACTTCCGAAGAGAACGTCGAGGAGCAGTAAACACACCGGTTAGTCGCAATCAGCTGATGGACGGGGACACGCGCTTCATGGGCAGGGCGATGGCAAAAATGGGCCCTAAGAGCAGCCCGCGTCGCGAAGACCTGTTTGCAGACCTCCCCCTCGGCATCGGGAAACTCGCGCGCGCACTCCTGTAGCGGGGGGTCAGGCACAGGAGGAGCGGGCGCCCCGGGAGCTCAAAGAGGAAAGGGTGGAGCGTTAGACTCTTGTTCCAAGTGGGCCCGTCTGAGTCCCTTGGGGCCCACGCTGCCAAACGCCGTCGCGATCCTATAGTTCGTGAAGATGCCCCTAATCGAGTGCCCCTGGTCGAGGAAGTGGCGGCCGTGCGGTGTCGCGCGCAGCGTCTTGATATATTCTTGCATCTGCAGAGCCCAGGGGTTGGCTTTTGGGTGAATTCAACCATTTTCCAAGAACGCAGGTCGATCTTGCAGGGCAGAGCAATGTCCAAACAGAGCTGCGGTCGCCTGTGCGCTCGCCTCAGGGTGGAGCGCAAGGTTCTGCCAGTAGCGTATCCTGCGGACAAGCAGTTCCGTGCGTGCATCTCCGATGTGAAGCTGCAACATCCAGGCCTTGGGGGTCCTGGCCTGCACGTGTTCGCCTTCGCCTCGCCTGGTAGCTACTCCACGTAGGATAACTTTGGCAAGCCCCAAGATGATCTTATCAAGCCTAGCGTAGTCCCTCTTCTCAAGGATGTAGGTCTCGAGGCCCGAGTAGGCCGCGCTATGTATGGCGCCCAAGAAGGCCATCCGCCTGCGCTTTAAGGCCGTGTGCTTATTCCAGAACCGCCCCAGCTTGCACCAGGCCGAACGAGTAGGGTCGTTACGAGCCCGAATCTCCGCACCACATCCCCCCGAGAGTTGCTCGACATCGCCAAGATACACCGCCTGAGCCTGAGGAACTGCAGGAAACAAGAAATTGCGCCCGGGAGAACAGCCCGAGTCGACGTATAACCTCCAGGACCCACGAAGACTGGATGAACAACTTCCTCGTCGGCATTATGTGCGAAACCCCCTTGCTCGCTGAGCTTGTTGGAGAGGAGGGTATTAGAAGTGCGAGCAAGAGCAGCAGCACGAAACGGATTGTTATCTGCGATCGGCAGCGTGTGTGAAAGGTCGCCAGCGTAGTCTCTCATGGAAAGATCGACGAGCTGCCCTGCGATAGGACGTTCGATGAGCGTGGCAGCTTCGATCAAAGGAACTTCGGTGTCTCCAATCTCGATCGCGCCTCGGTTCTCGAGCAAGAGCGTGCGGTTCCAGTCCTCCAATGGGCGAATGAACGACCTGACAAACAACTCGCACGCACTGCTGTCTCCCATGCCCGCGCCGTGGCGAGGAACGAAGTAGGCTGTCGCCTCGCCAGCACGAACCTCCATCACCGCCTCAGAGTGACGCTGGAGCAAGAACTTCTGATCCTGCAAGTCGGGGATGATCGTGCCAACTACCCCTGCCAGGGTCTCGTGGCTCGTGGACGGGAAGGCATTGATCATATCTTTCTGCACTTGCAAGTGCGAGACCTTGAGCTTCTTGAGCCGCCACGAGTGCAGGCGCGAGACCAACTGCGCCCCCTGCCGGGCGCGTCGTCTGGCGAAACCGTGCGCGTGGTACGGCAACTCCTGCTTCTCGTGACGCGTGAACATGCTGCGGTACCAGGCCTTTCCAAAAGGGCAGAAACAGTGAATCAAGCGCATGGCCTTGGTACCTCGTTTGGCGTTGCCTTCTGCCAGCTGGAACGCGCGCGACCTATGCCACCATGCTGGAGTACGACACGACATTCGTATCTGTCTGAACAGCGCCACCATCCGCTCGGCAAGTCGAGGACAAGGAACGCGGGGGAGAGGGCGAGCGTCACCATCATCTTGAGAAGCACGCCGTCTACCGCCGTCTCCACGAGTCTCCACGCTTCTCGCTCTCATGAGCGCCAGCCAAATCTCGCCCGGCGCTGAGTGAGACGGCGCGAACCTCCGACGAGCAGATTGTTCTAAAGCCTGAAGTGTCCCAGTCCAATCTACGTATGCCGTCGACGAGGGGTGCCCGCGCAACTGCTTCCAATCGCCACCTGGGCCCTCAGCCGCTCGCAGCTCGAGAGCGAACTCTGAAGGGGGTCTCTGGGTCGGGAACGACGACGGCGGAGAATCCACCATCCCGTGCAGTCGCCTGCATCGTGTCGGTCCACTCCTCTATCGTCGGCAGGCAGTGAGGCAGCGTGTTGAAGCGGCGCCTGCGGACGCCGTGGTACTTAGCACCCACTTGATAGGCCAGCTTCTACGCAGTGCTAGAATGGCCCAGGTCGGCCGCGCGTTGGGCCTCTCGAAGCATTCGATCAACGCTCTCGATCAAGCCGAAAATGTCCACGACGAATCTCGCGATCACACCTCCTCAAGGCCGCGCGATCTTCTTCAGAAAAGACACGACGACCAAGAGTGCGGCGCTTCTGCAGGAGTTCATCACGTCGTTGACGATGGGCCTCCAAAGGTCCTGACCTGGCATCGGCCTGACAGGCTTCCAGTGCAGCAGCGCGCACGTCACCGACCAGTGCCTGCCAGAGCTCGGAGGGGTCGTCGGCCTGAGCAGCTGATCGCCACCCTGCAGCGTGAAGTTCGCTCCGACGTTCCAGTACACCAATGAGCCTGAGTGAGCCTCCCTCTCGAAGCACATTAGCCAGCCGATCATGATCCCACCGCGGCCCCTGCTCGGCGCCCACGGGCTCGAAGTGCAACCTGTAGCGCAGCCTCCACAGCAGCGGGCAGTTGTCCTTGGGTTGCGCGTGCGGGATCATCTGAAGGTCTCGCATGGCCACCCGCATCGTGCAGCACGACACTGTGAAAGAAACGGCCCCTCGCGGGGCCCAGAAAGGGTCAGGGTGCGACGTGTGCTCGGCCTCCTGGCCGAAGTAGGTAGGGCCCGTCGAGAAGAACGAGTCGACCACCGCAAGTCCCCCCATGGAGATGATGCGCCAGAGTTCCTGACTGGTGAAGTTCTCCGTGCCAATATTGTGGTTCCCCACGTGGTCATCATCCGAAGTGTGATGCACAGCGCCTCGCAGCCGTTTTGCCAAACTCGCAGTTCGAGTCCGAACCCAGCACGATGAGGCACGTCGAAGGTGCATTCTGGATGGTCTTCTGCAGCCACCTCGCAAGCTTCGTGACCGTGGACTTCCAGTGGTCTACCCGCTGGCGCTGAGGCGGGGGGAAGTAGGCGACCAAAGCGAGTATGTCGAAGGAGCTGCTACGAAGCCGAACCCCTCCAGCACGCCCAGCCAGGTTTTTCGGGGGTTCCACAATCTCATGAATCTGCGAGCGTCGAAAAGCACGCTTGCGAAAGAAACTACTGCAGCCAGCTGACTTATTCGTGAACTTACCCTTGCCCCAGCCGAAGTCCTGCACCAGGTGCTTGGCGCTCTGCTGTATCGTAACTCCGTCCCCTGGGCGCCGTTCGCGCTGGGTCGCAGGGCACAAGATGAGGTCAGCAAATCCAAGACGAGAAGATATATCAAATGTGTGCCATGAGTCTGTCATGGAGAGAGGGTTATAGAGTACAGTTTGCAGTATTGAACCCCACATGGTGGGTGGGAGCGGGTCTGCGGGCGGGGGATGTCCTGCGTAGGCCAGAAGCAAGGGCCCGCGAACCCCAGGACTGGGCAGAAAGGGGCTAGGAGGAGGAGGAGGAGGAGGAGGAGGAGGAGGAGGAGGAGGAGGAGGAGGAGGAGGAGGAGGAGGAGGTGGAGGGAGGAGGAGTGAGGAGGAGGAGGAGGAGGAGGAGGAGGAGGGGAGGAGGTAGGAGGAGGAGGAGGAGGAGGAGGAGGAGGGGAGGAGGGGAGGAGGAGGATAGGAGGAGGAGGAGAGGAGGAGGGGAGGAGGAGGAGGAGGAGGAGGAGGAGGAGGAGGAGGGGAGAGGAGGAGGAGGAGGAGGAGGAGGAGGAGGGAGGAGGAGAGGAGGAGGAGGAGGAGGGAGGAGGAGGAGGAGGTGGGGAGGAGAGGAGGAGAGGAGGAGGAGGAGAGGAGGGAGAGGAGGAGGGGAGGAAGGAGGAGGAGGAGAGGAGGAGGGGGAGGAGGAGGAGGAGGAGGGAGGAGGGGAGGAGGAGGAGGAGGAGGAGGAGGGGGGATGGAGGAGGGGAGGAGGAGGAGGAGGAGGCGAGGAGGAGGAGAGGAGGAGGAGGAGAGGAGCCTGGCAGATGGAGGAGGAGGAGGAGGATCAGGAGGAGGAGGAAGAGGAGGAGGAGGAGGAGGAGGAGGAGGAGGAGGAGGAGGACGCAGAGCAGGCAGATGATGAGGATTGGCAACACGAGCGCCCCGGAGCAGGACGCACGAGCGCGCCGAGCGAGAGTTGGCGGCGGACGGAGGTGAATCCGTCCCGAGGCGGAGACGATGGAATTGATTGCAACCCGATCGAGGCCCTCTTCACTCGAAGATCGGGACCAACGAAAGGGGGGGATAGGGAAAGGAGGGGGGTACGAAATCTGCTGCATGCAGCTGGTTTCGGCCCCGCCGCCGGGCCCCTTCCGCGATAGACATGGGCGCCTCCCGGCGCCGGGAGGCGCCGGGAAGATCAGCCAGGTGAGCTGGTTCTCTATACCATGCCCTTTGCTGCACGCACGAGATGGGCATGGAAAGAATGGGTACGATGCCCAACAGCAGTTCCTGTTCATTTTGAACAGAACTCGCTGTCCGCGCCGCCGCGGCCTGTGTCCATTCGAGACAGAAGGCCGCCCGCCCAACAGCGGCCGCTGTTGGTTTGGGGCAACATTTGCTGTTGGGCATTGTGCCCATTGTTTCCGTGCCCATTTCGGGCGTCCAAACCTTTGCTATCCCCCCCTTTCGTTCCCCCCGATCCTCCGCCTGTCGAGCGGCCTTCTGGGCGGCTCCCGCGAGCGCATCTCCCGGCACCATCTCGCAGGCGCGACGGGCTGCCTCTGCACGGCGCCGGGGCCACGCGGCACAGGTGCACGGCCAGCGGGCGGGCAGCCTCCAGATTCAAGTCGGGCCTGTCCCTCTACAGGAGGAATACTCTCAGGAGGGAAACAAACACAATTCATCGTCGAGTCCCATATGGGAAAATATGGGAATTGGGCGGGAAAACAAAAACCCTGAAAATATGGGAAAATATGGGGAATGCTTTTATGTGTGTATTTATGTGTGTGTGTGTGTCCTTGGGCCCCGTGATCAAGAGTAGTCAAAGAGTAGGCTGGGGACGATTCCGCGATTGCGTTTGAGCATTTTTGGGGCTACTTTGTTGGGACTATGTTTTATGCATTTCGTCCACAATCCGCCTGCAGGGGCACGCCCGACCGAAACGCCAGATGGAGCGGCAGCTCTGGTGGTGGCCAGGCTGGGCCTCCGCGGCGGCTCCGACGGCAGGATATCCGCTGCACTTCCATCCCGAACGGAAGGGTCGGGAGGAGGAGGAGGGGAGGGGAGGGGGAGGGTGGAGGGGGTGGGGGTTTCTCCGAAGGGCTTGGGCGACCCGTCCTCCTCCTCTCTCTCGTCTCCCTCCTCCTCTTCCTCTCCTCTCCTCTGCCCTCCCCTCCTCCTCCTCCCGCCCTCCTCCTCCTCCTCCTCCCCGTCCTCCTCCTCACCGTCGCCTCTCCTCCTCCTCCTCCTCCTCCTCCTCCCCGTCCTCCTCCTCCCCTTCCTCCCCCTCCTCCTCCTCCTCCTTCTCCTCCTCCTCCTTCTCCTCAGCCCCTTTGAGGCCCTGACTCGCGGGGAGCGAGAGGCGAACCAGCCCCTTTGAGGCCCATGGGGGGCCTCTGAGGGCAGCGCACTTCAGAAGGGCGCAGCTGCCCCGAGCCGGGCATGTCATGGCGCGTCTGGCACGCGACCGCGCCCTGGCGGGCATCGTCTGCATCGAGCTGGTCGCCGCACTCGACTGCGGCGGCGCCCAGCCAGTCAGTGTTGGATATCGTGGAGGCGGCCACTTCGGCGGCGGTCTCAGCGTCGGTGGCGGCGGCTGTGGCGGCAGTCCAGCCAGCTCCCGCACAGTCGAGGCCGAGGCCGTCGTGCGCGCCGTTGTTGGCCATGGCCGTCGAGAACGGCGTGATGGAGCCGGCGGCGCCACCTTCTCCACCGCCTGGGCAGTGGACTTTGGTGGCATTCCCGAGGCCCGACCAGGAGGAGTACCTGGAAAAGCAGGGGGCGGACACGGAGCAGATGGAGATGCTGACGCAAAGGATCGGCGCGAACTCAGCCACGCCGTGCCGCAGGAGAAGAGCAAGAAGTATAATAACGAACAGAAGGACAAGTCGAGGCGGGAGTCCAAGAAGGCCAAGAAGGAGGAGCGGGAGTACTGGAGGGGGAGGAGCCGGTCCCGCTCCACTCCTCCGCGGCTGGTGGACTGAAGGTTGAGGACCTCTTCGGCATCTACGGCGACGAAGGGCACGAGGACCTAGGCGACACCATGGGCGGCGTGGACTCAGCAGACGGCTGGGCTTGCTGGCACCGTGACGAGGCCCCAGAAAACTCCAGCGCCGTCTTCAAGCTGAACCAGGAAGCATTCGAGAAGGTTGTGCAGGCTCGCGAAGTACATCACTCCCTATGGCGGCTGGGCTCCGACACGGTGGTCGGCGTCATCAGCAGCAGCAAGGGCGGCGACGGCGAGGGCCCCGAGAAAGTGGTCGACAGCCTCGTTTTCGGCATGGACGGCGACCACAACGAGTGCGTTGAGGAGAGCAAGCAGGAGGACTTGAAGGAGGAGGCATGCGCATGCGGAGGATGCCTCGTGGTGGAGGAGGCTGGCACTGACATCAAAGCCAGCCTCGACAACCTCGTCGTCAAGTCGGTGCGTTGAGTACGCTGTTAAGGTTAGCAACACCTTCAGCGTGCAGGAGGGCAGCGACACGCAGGACACGGGGAAGGTGGTTTTCGCGGGCGTGGGCGAGAAAGATGGAAATGGAGATCCTGAGCAGGTCGCGGCACCGATCCCGAAGCTCCGGGTCGACGAGTTCAAGATGGAGGGAACCAGTGAGCATGAGCTCCAGCAGGTGCCGCGGTTCCCGCCCCTCGACATCGACACGGGCTCGGGCGGTCGCAATGCGTCTCTCATCGCGCAGGCCGGGGCGGTCGAGAAGTTCGGGGACGCGCCGTAGGCGCAGCCGCACGCGCAGGAGGTCGAGATGATCGATGTGCCTGGCTTGGGTCTGCCGCCCGAGGTCGAGCTGAAGGAGAGGCCTGTTGGGCCTGGGCCAGGTCACCCCCCGGCAAGTCCACGATTTTCTGGGAAATTCCCGGACTTCCCTGCCGGTGGGTCGGTGGACTCAGAGGTCGGCAGCGACAGCGAGACGGAGGTCGGCAGCCGCGAGGCCTTCTGTCTGGACTTCCAGGGCTCGGAGTCGAGCCAGGCGACCCTTCGTGAGTTCCTGGAGTGGCCTCGGGACATGAAGGATTGAGGTTGCCGTTCGAGGTCGAGGACTCGCGAGGTGGCCGCGTGCTAGGGGGGGGGTCTGCTTCAGTCAGCGGTGGTCCTGGGGCCGTCCTTGGGGTCGGGCTCTCCCCCTCGGGTCTCCTGGTTTTCGGCCCCTCGGGGCCCGTGGTGGTGGGCCTCCGCCCACCTGCCGCTGACTGGAGTGGACGACCCTCCCGTCGGCGGCGCAGCGGCCGTTGTGCCGAGAGAGGGGGTTCGACCTCCTCCTCCTCGTTTTTTTCCCTCCTTCCCCTCCTTTTCCTTCCTCCTCCTCCTCGCCCTCCCCTCCTCGGGTCGCCTACGGCCCCTGGGGAAACCGTCCAGGGGGAGGAGGAGGAGGAGGAGGAGGAGGAGGAGGAGGAGGAGGAGAAGGATGACCAGTGCAAACCCACGATGCATCAGCCATGGTGCTTGAGACCCGCCCTCCTTCCAGGCTCCCTCTGTATATAGGCTCCTACAACAAAAGTGCGTCTTCATTTCGGGAAGTGGCCCATTGTAAGACAACCGTCTGAGAATCCTCAATCGTGCCAAAGCACGGTTCTTGGGACTTGTACGCCGCGGATTAACGCGATTGTTGCGCCCGCGCAATCCTAAACCGCGCAAGAACACCATTCTCGGTATTTCGCTACCGCGAATCATCGCGACTGTCGCGTTTAGTCCTGAATCATGCCAGAGCACGAGTCCAAAGCCCTCGACCATGCAAACGTCTAAAACTGCTGCAAACTTTAAGACGAATATGCGCGGCGCGAACGCGAGATTCACATGTTCAAAACACAACCCCCTCCATCCGTGAACTGGTTGCAATCCTGAACGACGAATGTGCGCGGCGCTAACGCGAGAACCACATGTTGAAAACCATAATTCCTCCATCTGGGCACGTGTTGCGTTTTTAAGGATGAGTGTGCGCGGCGCTAAGCGAGAGCAACATGTTGAAAACCAACCGCCCTCCATCCGTGGAGTTGCGGCGAACGTTTAAGACGGATGTGCGCGGCGCTGAGACGAGCACCACATGTTGATAACAGCCCGCCATCCACCCGTGAAATTGTTGCAGATTTCCAGCTTCCCGACCATACGTGACGTGTCAGGTAAAACGCCCGGCCTGCCCTGCGGACGCGTCTGGGGGTGCGACAGGGACGAGCGAGCTGTTCAGAAGGAAAGGGATGGAGGAGGGAAGGGGGAGGAGGGAGAAGGAGGGAGGACGGGGGGAGCACGGAGGAGGAGGAGGGACGCGGGACAAGTAGGATCCTCCCTCCCGTCGCTCTCCTTCTGATATATATATATATATATATATATATCAAAAACGAGGGAAGCAGAAGCCCGCGGGTTTCCCAGGAAAGGAAGCCACTGACGCGCTGCTAGGGTTAATGACCGTCCGACCTCCGTCAGCCTTGCACCACGTGGAAGAATGTTTTACATTTTGAAGCCTGAGGGTTTTCACGTGTCGGGCCCTGGCAGACGATTTGTTGTCACTGTTTCGATACTCTTCTGGGTGCTCGGGACTCTTTCCGGGATGTGGACCTTGAAGAATGTTGGGTTCCTCCCCCCCGCGCGGGCCGGGCTGCAGGCGGCGCAGCGGCTGCGCTGGAGCCGGTGCCGAAGCTCCAGGCTCCCTGCCTCGTCGCCCTAGAATTAATGTCGGGTCTGCCCCTCTACTCGAGCAGTGGCGAAACGTAGTGGCGAAGCGTCTTGGCTCGCCAAGAGACCAACCAAATAATGTGATTCTAAGAATCTTTTGTGGTTTCAACGAAATGTTTTAAGAGCATTTCTGGCTGGACCTTTCTGGTTTGACCACATCGGCCTTATGTTCTAAGAACATTGTTTTTATATGTTATTCGAACACTTCTTGGTTCCAAGAACGTGCCGGGGTAGGCCTATAGGAATGCCGGGACAGTCGGTCCTTGCTCAAGTCCCTTTACAGGAGGAGTATTCAAAATAATGTAAAAATGGTATGGGGACGATGTTTTGACAATTTTTGATTTTTTGGGGGGTGTTGCTTGGTCATCTTTCAGTCTTCGTCCAGAAGCCGCCTGTAGGGGGACGCGCCCGACGGGGGGGGGAGGAGGGGAAGGGGGGGAGGGGATGGGGGGGCGTCCGAGAGGGGGGCGAGGACCAGGATGTGGGCCTCCCCGAGGGGGTCGGAGCAGATGGGGTCGGAGGGTCGCGCCACATCGCCGATGCATCGCCGATGCGGCTCGATGCGGAGCCCAATTTCCTGCGCGCCGACGTCGCCGGTGCACCGCCGACGTCGACGATGCATCGCCGATGCATCGCTGATGCATCGCCGATGGATCGGCGATGCGGCGCGATCCTCCGACCCCATCCAGGAGGCCTCCTGGGATGGGGGGCGTCCAAGAGGGGGGCGAGGATTAGGATTAGAATTATGTCGGGCGAGTCCCCCTACAGGGGGATTTTCGACGAAAAATAAAAATATTCCAAAAATACCCCAAAAAGGTCAAACACCCCCAAAAAAAGTCCCCAGACTATTCTTGGATTATTTTTTGCTTATTTTTGGTGTATTTGTTATTTTTCCTCGAAAATCCCCCTGTAGGGGGACAGGCCCAACTTACGATTAGAATGGGGTGGACATCGTGGCTGGGGTGCATGATCCGCCACTGTGCCTTCAGCACGCAGTGGAGCGCCCCAAGGCTCCTGCGGCCCTGTCACCCAGAGAGGTAGGGTGTCTGAAAGGTTCCTCAGGGCAATGACCCCAGGTTTTCGAACTGCTCCCGGGAGATTTCGGAGATCCTGAGGATTTATGGGAGCTCCCCGAGGCTCCTCAGCCGACCTTTGACCACCTCAGGAACCTTCCAGAGTGTCTTCAGAACCGCCTCGGATAGCCAACGAGGGCCCCGGAGCGGTCCCAGACACCTTCAAGACGGCTCAAGATGGATTCCGGACGGCCCAGGATGCCCCGAAGACTGTCCAAGAGAGCCCGAAGAGCACGTCCAAGAGGACCCCGAGGGATGCTGAAAGATGTCCCCATTCTCGCCTTTTCCGCTTTCCGACGCTCCAAGACGTCCCAAGAGGCCCCCAAGATGGCCCCAAGACGGCCCAAAAGGCCGCGAAGAGGACTCCAAGACGGCTCAAGGCCGCAGAGATGGCCTGTGAGGCTTCTAAGATTGCCCAAGAAGGCACTCAAAAACGCCTGCTAAGAGGGTCCCAGAAAGTGCCATTTTATACCCTCCGCCTCTGGCAGCGGGTGTCCTAGAGGCCCACAAAAGGGCCAAGAGAAGCCGCCAGGAGGCCCCCCAAAAGACACCAAACACTCCCAGATGGTTTCAAAACTGCCTCCAATAGGCTCTCGAGAGGCATCCCAAGAGACCCCAAGAGGCATCCGTGGCCATTTCGGCGAAAGTCATGATGGTTCAAGCCACTCATGTTCCAACAGAACTGTGGCGAGCTGTGCACCCAAACATCTGCTTACTGAGCCAGTGTAGCTTTTCACTGATTTAATTGGGATGGCTGCGGTAGGGTTTGCAACCATGACCATGTACATTGTGGCGCAACTTATCCAGGACGTAACCGCCGCAACTTCTACGATGATGCTTCGCGACATCTACTAACAGAACGCCTTGCGCATGGTGCGTGCGCCACAGCGTACAAACGCAAGCGCTGTGCTATATGTTACAACGCACGCCTCGGATCAGCACATGAGCTATTTAGAGTGTTTGCCGCCGCTGATTCGGACCTCGCCGATGCTAATGAAGGCGGGCGTCATCTTTGTACGTTGGGAGCGACACTCTCTAAGAAAACCAAAGCATCGAATCACCCAGCTGTTGGATAAGTGGCCCGTGCGGAATCGTGCCGTCCATTTCGATGAATCCGGGCTACCAGCAGGGCGCAATGAATGCGGCCCACGTGGGATGTTCCAGCGGATGGTTCCGAGGTTACGATTGGGTTATCAGGATCAATCCTGATGTTGTGATCTACAACGATAATTTGATATGGCCTCTCATGCAGAAGGCAGAACATTGGAGCAGATTCGCCGCTTGTTGGACGTACTGCGAGCCGCATTCTGGCTGTACTCTTAGACAGACCCACAGACTTCTTTGCCGTACGGCCGTCCCGAGTGCCACCAGATGCTTTGGCAGACTGGCAAACACGCGACAATGCAGACATTCGGGCGACCGCTGCGTTCAAAGGCATATACGCAGCAAAGGCCGACGTATACCTCCCGCGGCATTATTCGAGCATTCATTGCCGCGTGACGGGGGGCGGCGTGTTTCACAGCACGCTATTTTGCCATGAATTTCCGCAGTCCCGCCCTTTTGAGTATTAGGTCTTGTCCTCGCCCATGGTTCTTCCATGCTATTGATCAGAACATGATCGTCTCTGGCATCACTACCATCATCATTGCCACTTGTCAGAGAAAAAAAGAGACCCCAAGAGGCATCCAGGAGGACTCGGACCCAAAGCTCGAGCACGGTGGCGTGTTGGGCCGACGGCCAGTACATCCGCCGCCCCCTGTTGGCTTGCCACAGGGGTGCCCGGCGTGCTGGATCCTTTCGCTTTTGGTTCTTTTAGAACTCCCCATGGGGCTTCGGCCCGTCCCGCCGGCCACTCGGAAGGGCGCGCAGAGATACCCAAAAGGTGGTTGCAAAGGGTTGTTCGCCTCAGACGGCTCCAAGATGGCCTTCAAGATAGCCACGATGGCCCAAGATGGCCTCCAAGTTCGCCCAAAATGGTCCAAGATGCCCTCGAAGACGGCCCAAGACAGTCCAGGATGCCTCCAAGTTCGCACAAGAAAGACCTAAGGCGGCCCAAGTGGCCCCAGAGGCCTCCAAGAGGCCTCCAAGACGGCCCAAGAGGCCTCGAAGAGGTCTTCCAGGGTCCTTAAGGACGGCCCGAAGAGGTGAACATCATTGATTTAACATGGTTTTTCAAGGACTTTAGCTTTTGCTCCTTTTCGGATTGCGACGGCCCAAGACTGCCCACGAGGCCCTCGAGATCGCCCCCAGAGTGCCCAAGAAGCCTCCAAGACCGCCCCAGGACGGCCCAAGAGGCCCCCAAGACGGGCCCAAGAAGGCTCCAAGACGGCTCAAGAGGCGCCCAAGAATCCCCAGATGGCCTCCAAGACTGCCAAGATGGCCTCCAGGATGCCTCCAAGACGGTTACGATGGCCTCCAAGACGGCCAAGATGGCCCCAAGATGCACCCAAGATGGCCCAAGATGGCCTCAAGATGGCCTACGATTGCCCAAAGGCCCGCCAGAGGCCTGCAAGACGGCCCAAGAGCCCTCCAAGGCGTCCTCCAGGAAGACCCGACATGGTTAAAATCATTGATGTTCCTTAGGTTTTTATGTTTTTTTAATTGATTTTGGCGTTTGCTAATTTTCAGCTCCCCGACGGCCAAGACGGCCCAAACGGCCCCCAACATCGACCCAAGAGCGCCCAAGAGGCCTCCAAGACAGCCCCATGACAGCCCAAGAGGCCCCCAAGAGCGCCCAAGATGGCCTCCGTAGCCGTTTTGGCTCAAGCCATTCTGGATCAACGGCTCAAGGGCTAACTTGTGCGCGACGCGTGCTTGCTGATTGGCCATCACCCTGCCAGCACATGCCCGTGCTCATGGCGACGTTTCCAGGCGGCGATGTCGTCTTCGCCGAGCCGATTAAGGACAAGATGGCACGCCCCGGCTCCCAAGCCACAGAAAGCTTGGTCCCCACGCGGTGCCCGTCGACGGAGCTGCTGACCTTCGACCGAATCGATGACGGCCACGATGCCACCGCGCCGCAGAAGGGCGGCGACGAGCCAGCGCTCCTCGAACCAGTCGTGTACCCAGGCAGGGGGTGGTCCGCGATGGCAGCGGCGCAGAACGAGGCCCCCCTCCGGCGCCTCCGGTCCGAGGCGTATTGGGAATTGAAGGCCGCATCCCGCCAGCGGACGAGGTGCGCGCCCTGGGAGATGGGCATCAGGCAGCGCAGCGCGCTCTTCGAGGAGGACCTCCGCGGGACGGCTGCGGCCGCGATGCCCGCGCCGGAAGACGCCGAGGGCGGCGGCGAGGGCGCCGCCGAGGGCGCCACGTGCTGGGCGGGTGCCATCTCCCGGGAGCTGCGCCGCAGGGTGCGCGGGCCCGCGCCGCGGCCCCGAGCGTCTGCGGCCGCCCCCCCGACGGCACGGGGCCGCTCGTGCAGCTGCGCCTGAGGCCCGCTACGCAGGGGGCCCCCGGGTGAGCTTGACGATCGCCGTGCCGTGAATGAGGACCTGGTCGCGAACCGAGCGACCACGGCAGAGTATTTTTCAAGCTGATTGCCTGCATGATCAGCAGCATACCCTATGAATGACGAGTGCCTGGTCGCGAACAGGGTGGCCACGGCAGCGGGGCAAGATCTGTTTCTTTCAGGACTGTGCGCATGTCGTTTCTTCTGACAGGTTCAGCAAACAGAAACAACTAGTTGACCTTGACAGAAATGGATCTTGACCCAGGAATCAGAATGTTCGCGCGCGTCCAATCCGCGTGGCTTTTGAAATGACCTTCAAGAGTTTCAAGACATTGTTTGAAAAGAGGTCCGCTCGGAAGGCATTGGCTTTGCTAGCAGACGTCGGCGCAGAGGTCTGGACAGCTTGGGTTGAGCTGTTTCAGTTGAGGTTGCTGCGCAGTCGGCAGCGCTTCGTTTTTTATGTGTTTTCTTGTTTTGTGTTTGTTTTTCCCCTGTGGTGGGTGATGCAAGGGTTTTTTTCGTGGCGCCCTTGATGCAGTCAAGCAGCGCACCGCCTGGACCCCTTACTTGCGCCCCGCAAACGGGCTCCGCCCGCAGTCCAGGAGTGCGATGGCGGCGTGCGAAACTGCTGGAGCATGGCGCACATGCACACCCGTATTCAATGTCTGCTTGCGGCTGAGCAGAGTTGGCTCGCGTTTCCCAGATTGGCCTCGAATGTACAGGATGACGCGTCGCTTCAATTTCGCAGGCTTGAGGCCGTACGGGGCAAGGAAACACGTATTCAGCCTGGTCTGTAGAGATGTGCATATTTTGGAAGGCGGTGTGTTGCGGGTGGGATGGGTGGGGGACGTGGCGGAACAGACCCAACCACACGCGTTCGCCGGACAGTGGTTTCGCGAGGGGTTTGCGTTGCAGCCTTATTGGAAGCAATGTGGGCCAACATGGCTCCTTTACATGTCTCGGGTTTCCTAACTCTGGTGCATGCGCTGGCGTCCATATGCGATCGTTCACCGCTGAAGAGCTTTATAGCGTTGATAAGAGGCATCTATAGGATGACCCTTCAGACGCACCTTTTTACCGCATCGGTAGTTGGCATGTGGCGCTCTCTTGGCGGTTGCACTGGAAGGTTTACCAGAGCCTGGCTGGATCACAACGACGTCGGTGACGGGGTTGGCGGCGTATGTATGAATGCCACTTTTTTGGATTTGGCGCGCTGGCCCAGGTCGGCGCGCCCCCGAGGAATGCAGCGTGCATGCTGGATTACCTTTGAATTGGATTTTTCAAACCGCCCTCTGTGCGCAAAGCTGCCTCGAGTGTGGCCAGGGATGGCGACGCTCCTGGCGCATGCGCTTGCCTATCGCAGCTCCAGCCACGTCGACCAGGGGCCTCTCCGCCGAAGAAAAAAAGAGCGCCCAAGATGGCCTACAAGACGGCCAAGATGTCCTCCAAGATGCCTCCAAGACGCCCAAGATGGCCGTCAAGACGGCTAAGATGGCCCGAAAATGCACCCAAGACGGCCCAAGATGGCCTCAAGATGGCCTACGACGGCCCTATAGGCCCGCAAGAGGCTTCAAGACGGCCCAAGAGCCCTCCAAGACGTCTTCCGGGAAGGCCCGACATGGTTAAAATCATTGATGTGCCTTAGGTTTTTTTTTGTTTGTTATATATATATATATATATATATATATATAAAAAAGGATTTTGGCTTTTGCTTCTTTTCATATCTCCGACGGCCCAAGACGGCCCAAGAGGCCCCCAACATCGTCCCAAGAGCGCCCAAGAGGCCTCCAAGATGGCCCCATGACAGCCCAAGAGGCCCCCAAGAGGGCCCCAAGAAGACGCCAAGACTGCCCAAGATGGCCTCCCAAGATGGCATCCAAGACGGCCAAGATGGCCTCCAAGATGCTTCTAAGACGGCCAAGAAGGACTCCAAGACGGCGAAGATGGCCCCAAGATGCACCCAAGACTCCCCCAGATGGCCTGAAGATAGCCGTAGACTGCCGAAAAGGCCCGCCAGAGGCCTCCAAGACGGCCCAAGACCCCTCCAAGACCTCCTCCAGGAGGCTCGAAAGCTCCGAAACCACCTGGTCCGATAGCTCGCCCGACTCCTTGTGCCCCAAAGGCTTTCGAAAACCACTCGGGGAAGGCGTGGCCCGATAGCTTGGCCAAGCTTATACCCAACTTTCGGCCACGCAGGCGCTTCCAAAAACGCAGGGCGCGGCGGTGATTCGTTGTAGGCGTCTTCGATCCGCCGCCCTCTTTTGATTCATCACAGGGGTGCCTGGCGTGCTAAACGTCTGATGGTTTGGGGTTTTTTGAAAGTCTCCCCTGTGCTCCGGCCCAGCGCGCCGGCCACCCAGAAGGCTTCGTCGCTGCGAAACAAAAACATGTCCAAGACGGCCAAGATGGCCCAAGTTGGCCTCCGTGTTCGTCCAAGATGGTCCAAGCCCAAGATGCTTCCAAGTCCGCCCAAGAGGTCAACAAGATGGCCAGAAATGGCTCCAACATGGCTCAAGACAGCCCAAGAGGCCCCGAAAAGGCGTCCAAAACGGCCCAAGAGGCTTCAAAAAAGGTATCCAGGAAGACCCGAGGAGGCACAAACCATGGATTTCCCAAAAGTTCAAAAATATTCAGGCATTTGCTGATGTTCTGCTTTCCGACGGCCCAGGTTGGCCCAAGAGGACCCAAAGATCGCCCTAAGATCGCCCAAGAGGCCTCCAAGAGGGCCCCATAACGGCCCAAAAGGCTTCCAAGACGCCCAAGATGGCCTCCAAGACGACCCTGAGACACCCCAAAAGAGCCCCACGATACCCCCAAGACGCCTTCCGACGGCTTCCTGGGGGTCACAATGCCTTGAGATAGCCAAAGAGGCCCCCAAGGAGCCCCCAAAGTCCCCCAAGAGGCCCAAGGAGGCCCCAAGAGGCCTCTAAGAGGCCCCTTGGAAGCTCTCAGATGGCCCCCAAAATTCCCCAAGTAGCCCCCAAGAGGCCTCCTCCTCCTCCTTCTTTGTCTCGCTCTCGTCATCCTCTTTTCTTCCTTTCCCCTCGCAAAGAGGCCCCAGGCGGCCCATACGAGGTCCCAAGGAAGCCCGAAGAGGCCCCAAGGGGCTCCCCAGAAGCCCCTAAGAGGCCCCCAAGAGGCTCCAACATTCCTCCTTCTGGGGAGGCCTGTTCCTTCTCACTTGCCCCCCTCGCCCGCCGCCAATAAGTACAAGCACTGTCTGGGGAGGAAGAATTGCAATCCGTCCGCGTAGCTTCTGAAACTACGAAAGACCAACATGTGTGCGGCGCTCGAGCCAGGGCTACACATTGAGCATGTGTCACCTTCCACCCGTGTACTTGCCGTAAGCGTTTAGGACGAATGCGCGCGGCGCTGAGGCGATGTATTTAGCACGGCCTCCGTCCTTCAGTTGATGAAATCTAATACGATTGTGAGGGGCGCCAAGGCGAGAGGCACATCTTGAATGCACCTGCCCCGCCCTTGTTGGTGACGAGGAGGTGTGTGTGTGTGCTTGGCATGCAGGAAGTGGGTGGAGAGGGATGGGGGGGATGATGGATTGGGAGGAGAGAGGTCGGAAGAGAGATGAATGGGTATGAGGGGACCATGGGATAATGTGGATAACCGAGGAGGTAACATGAGAACGACGATGCTTCTGCTGGATTCTGCTTGCCTGGCCTCCCAAGTTTCTAATCACGCACAGCGGCGGCGATAGAAGCTGTCCCTACCCCAGGCCATCCCTGGGCGACAGGTTTCGGCTTTACGCATGTGGCCCTGAAAGGGGCAGATGCCTCGCAAGCCTGCTCTGCGCGCTTGCTCCCTTCTCGCAGAAGCTGGTCGCATCGCCGTAGCTGCTGCCACTGCCTTCCCGCCAGAGGAGAATGATAAGGCAAATCGTTGGTGCAAGACGGAGGCCAGACGAGGATTTTGTGGACTCTCTCCAGCGTTAGACCAGTACTAGCGTCGATGTGGCGACTCAGTTCGGTGTCGGAGATTTGGCCGTGGCGTTCTCCAGAGCCGAAATCATCATTGGCCGGGTGCGTGACTTCCGTCTCAGGCGAAAGGTGGTATAACAATCTGTTGCGCTGGCATCTTGGCAACGAGTGACATCATCCAGACGCGCAGGGCCAGCGCAAGAGGTGGAGTGATCCAGAATGCGCTGAGTTTTCCGCGGCCCAGCGTAGCGACGGAGCGGGCTCTCCCGCTCTACGGGCCCTTCGCCTTTCTCAGCGTTATACAGTCGGGGCCCTGAAGAAGGAACCCTTTTCGTTGGGGAGGGGCTCCGCGTTCCTTAAGTGTTTCACAGCTTGCCTCAGGTTCCCCTTATGCTTTCGATAGGAAATCGAAGTTTAACTTATGGAAAATAGGGGCCTCGCTCCTTATTTCGGGTTTCTTAGGTCAACGCCTCGACTGTAGCTGATGCGTCGCTCACTGCCTGCTTCTTCGCACGATCCACTCCCCGCGTAATAGCCGACGTGTCGCCCAGTGTGCCTGCCTCCTAGCAGGAGCTGCTCCCGGCGCCGAGGTTGATGCGCTGCCCACTGCGTTCCTTCTCGCACGAGCTGCTCCCAGCGTTGTAGCTGAGGTGTCGCTCGATGCCTGCCCTGTCGCATGAACCACATCTAGCGTCAAGTCGGACCTGCCCCTCTGCAGGGGAAGTATTCAAACATTGTAAAAAAATAGTCTGGGGAGGTGTTTCGAGTATGTTTGATGATGTTTAGAGTATTGCTTGACTACTTTATATTTGTCGTCCAAAATTTCCTGTAGCAGGGCATGCCCGACCTAGTAGATCTAGCGTTGGAAAGGATATGCCGTCCACGTCCTGCCGCGCTGAGTGGCGACAGCATTTGCTGCAGCTGGTCGGACGTCTCGCACACTCGAACTGGTCCCAGACTTACGTCGGGCCTGTTCCTTACAGGGGGAGTGGTCAAGAACAGTCAAGAAATCGTGTGGTGACGATTCTGTGAGTATTTTGTTGTATTACTATGCTTGGGGCATTTTTAGAGTATATTTTGTTTTTCGTCCAAACTCCGCCCGTAGGGGCACATGCCCGACCTAATCCCAGCCCTGTAGCTGATGACATTGTCCCCCGCGGGCTCCCAGCGTTGTAGCAGATCCTTCGATCGCTGCCGCCTCTCTCGCATGATCAGCTCCGTGCGTTGTATTTGGCATGTCGCCATTTCATGTGCCTGGATCTCGAGCTTCGCCTCCAGCTGCTTCGCGCACGCGCGACTCCCAGCTTTCCAGCTGATCTTGGCTACCCACTGCCGCCCTACCCGCACGAGTGGATCCCAACGCTGCAGCTGATTTGCTCTCGCGCAGCCTCGCTGATCCCAGCGCTGCAGCTGAAAACGTTGATCGCCAGCGTCTCTTTGCACACGTCCGCGGTCCTCGGCCGGGCATCGAGCGGCGAAAGAGGAGGGCAGGAAGAGGGAAAGGGAGGGGAGTGTAAGTGGGCGCCCATGTCAAGAAACGCCCTGCATGCCTCCAGGGTGCACTGGCTTTCGTGGGTTTCGATGGTTCTGCCATGGAAAGGGTGACGCTCCCAGACCAAAGATCGATGGACGTCCTGGGGTCCCAGGGCTGGGTTTCTGGTGGGAGGTCTCTTGTGGTCGGGCCCCCACTGTATGGGCGTGGATCTTCTGCTCTCCATGGGAGGGCTCCAGGGGCCGATCCTGAAGGGGTTCTGGCCCCGCCGCCCGCCCCCACGCCGTGGGGGCGCCTGGCGCGGGCGCTCGAGAGGCGGAAGTGTGCCCTTCGGGGCCCCGTCTCGGGCTCTTGGGCCCGCACGGCAGGGACCGACGGCGCAAAACCCATGCGAAGAATGGAGCGACCCTCCCCTTTTAGCCAGACCTCCAGGCCCACGCCTCGAAAACATTGGAGCAGCCAGATGTCTGGGTAGATTCTCGCCCCGCGAGGAGGAGGAGGAGGAGGAGGAGGAGGAGGAGGAGGAGGAGGAGGAGGAGGAGGAGGAGGAGGAGGAAAGAAGAGGAGGAGGAGGAGGAGGAGGAGGAGGGAGAGCAGCAGCAGCAGGAGGAGGAGGAGAGGAGGAGGAGGAGGAGGAGGAGCAGGAAGGAGGGAGGAGGGTGAGGAGGAGGAGCAGGAGGAGGAGGAGTAGGAGGAGGGCACCTGAGAGGAGGAGGGGAGGAGGAGGAGCAGCAGATGAGGAGGAGGAGGAGGAGGAGGAGGAGGAGGAGGGAGGAGGAGGCGGGTGAGGAGGAGGAGGAGGAGGAGGCGGGAGAGGAGGAGGAGGAGGAGGATGCGGAGGAGGAGGATGGAGGGAGGAGGAGAGGAAGCAGCAGCGTGAGGAGGAGGAGGAGGAGGAGGAGGAAGAGGAGGAGGAGGAGGAGGAGGAGGAGGAGGTGAGGAGGAGAGGAGGAGGAGGAGGAGGAGGAGGAGGAGGAGGAGGAGGAGGAGAGACGAGCGGCCCCCCTTCTTGACAGCTCGCTGGCGACCCGGGTCCGCGCACGGCCGTTGGCCTCCATGGAGACGATGCGCGCGTGCCCGCCTCCTGGGGCCGCCCCCGCCGCCCAAGCTTTTTGGGGACCCATCGGAACAGCCGGGGTCCCGCGCACAGGCCCCCCGGGGGTGGAAACTGTGGCCAGTAAGAGGACGACGGGGGGGGGGGACAGGGCGGGGGGGGGCAGGAGGACGAGGAGGACGAGGAGGAGGAGGAGGAGGAGGACGAGGAGGAGGGGGAGGGGGAGGAGGGGGAGGAGGGGGAGGGGGAGGGGGAGGAGGACGAGGAGATGGAGGAGGGGGGAGGGGAGTTCTGGGGACGGCGAGGCGGAGGAGGGGCACGAACGCGAGGGAGAGCATGGAGAACGTGGAGGAGGATCGGGTGATCTCCGTTTGCGCCCCTTTCCACCGTCTCTCCTGGTGTTCCCATTCGTGGGCCGCTCGTAGTCCGTCCGCACTTTTGTCTAGGGAGGGAGGCCCCAAGTCCCGATTGTTCCCCTTATTCCGCCTGTGACGACGACGGCGAAGACTGAGACGACGACGACGACGACGACGACGACGACGACGACGACGACGACGACGACAGCGACAGCGACAGCGACAGCGACAGCGACAGCGACAGCGACGACGACGTCGATGTCGTCGTCGACGGGCTGCGACGACGACGACGACAGGCTCCGAGCGGCGCTGGACCTCAGCGCTTCGACATCTCGGCCGGCGACGAGGACCTGCTATGA